CAAGTCCGAGTACTGTCGATGTAACGCTGATCAGTGAAGTAGTGACAGAGGTGCGGCGATCGTCAATCTCACCAAACTGGAGCATTCTCGAACGACGTGAGCGAATGCACTCTTGAGCGCCAGCTTTGTCGCTCTCTCTTGAAACGCTCTCGAATGAGCGATCGCTGCCAGCTCTGCGATGATGAAATCGACCGCCATCGTTTCTTCGCGAGCTTCGATGCCTTTTTCGGCAAACTCGGCAGCACGACCACCAAGTTGCCAAACCTTTGCAAGCATGTTTGGCGTTGACATGTGGAACAAGAGTGACAGCTGTTGATGAGCAACATCACGTAATTTGATAGCGAAAGCCATCAAAAAGTATTTGTCGATGGCGCTAAGGACTGCAGGGTCGACATATGTCGGCGCCGGTGGAGGTGTCAAGACGCCGTCGATGGCCAAGCTGTGTTCATCGTAGGTGCAGATGTAAGGCGATCGAGCGAGTCGTGAACCAGATTCTATGTTGATCCTGACCATCGACTCCGTCGCCTCTGGAGCGGGGTCCGTCAACGGTCGCGACAGCGGTCCAGGTCGAACGCGTTTGGGACGGCGCAAACGTCGACCGCCTGGTGAAGAGCCACGTGACAATGCACCACAGGTGCATTCAAGTGGTGGAGCCGGGCCTTTGCCTTTCTTGTCAGGTTCGGCGGCAGTGATCCTTGGAGCCCGAGAGTAGAATGATTGCGTGGCTAGCCTCTGGAGGTCTCGCGACGAGCCTTGAAGGAAGTCTGGCAAGTCGGACGGCTTTGCTTGAACGGCGACTTCTCTTTCGGCTCTGAATCGATCCAGGTCACTTTGAAGAACAAATTTGCCGTTGACGATTCTGGCGTATTCTGGCTCCTCTGGCTCACTGATAGGTGCTGTCGTGTCTTGAACAGGCAGAGACGGTAACGTCCTGGGAGTGACTACGAGGCCAGGACTGTCCATCTGTTGGGGTGCGTCTTTATTAACAGTTTCGGCACGACTTGCGTCCTCTCGTCGAGCCGTTTCAAGCCGTGCCAAGATCGCAGCGACACGGCCAGATTTTGTTTCTGTAGATGGCGCGGTAGGTGAGTGACTGGATGCAGCATCGGCGGGGGGCGTTGTGGCAGGCTTGGCTTCCGTCGTGGAGATGGCGCCGGTGACTGTGTTCGTGGCGGCTTCCGTAGATTCCGATTTGCTCGCCTCCGATCCTGAAATGTCGGAGTCGTCAACGCATTCATCCTTGTCATGACTGATCTTGCCACTCGCTTGTTGTGCTTCAATCTCCGACACTTGTTCAGGTACAGCCGACCGAGAATTGAGCTTGGCTTCAAGTTCTTCGCGCTCTTCTTCCAGCTTGACAGATTCTTGCAGCAATGTACGACGTTCTTTTTCAATTGATATCAGCCTCGCTAGTACATGTTCGTAACGATCTAGGTGTTTCTGACGCTCTTCTGCTTCTTGCAGTTGTCGTTCTTCGTCGAGCTCTTGTTGCTTCAATCTCTCTGCCTCTGCCTCTTGCTCCTTCTGTTCATCGATCAAACGCTGCTCCTCGAGTCGTTTCTTCTCTTTCTCGATCCGTTCCTTTTCGCCTTTGTACCACAATGCCACTCTGACTCCACCGGCATCAATCCAATCTGCCACCCTCGAGAAACCGACCGTCTGTTCGCTCTCAATAGTTTGACCTCTCGAATCATCCAATCTTAATTCCCTCCAGCCAAGTTCCAACAATTTCAAAGCATAACCACCAACCATCATGAGTTGAACGTCATACAAGCTCTGATTCAAATTGCGTTTGGCCAATTCAAGAACCAAATTTCTCCAAACTGGATAAGCTTCGATCAATCGTCCATGTAAGTCGGCAATATTGAAGCCTTGACTTTCGAGTTGTTGACGTAGTAATGGTTCTCGTTCAGGGTGATAAGCGATGCAACGCATGACACCCACGGCGAAACCATAACCAGCATGTTCCGGTGGAGGTGGTTTTGGCGCGAATGGTGCAACTGACACTTGCGGTGATGGCTTAAGTATGTCATGAAAGCAATAGTTGTGAAATCCGAGCTAGACGCGTTCGAAAGAAAGAAAGGGTCAGACTCGTCAGGCACATTGCAATTCCAACAAAGGTTGCTCACGGTGTGCATGCGTTTCAGAACGCTGCCGACAATGTTTTTAGTAACCTTGTCTATTGTTCGCTTGTGATCGCCCTTGGCATGACGAATCAATTCCCTCAGATCGGCTCGTGCGTCAGCCAAGGTTTGCTTCGATGACAAGTCGGCCAACTTGACGGTGCCAGTGACGAGCAAGTCTTCAACGAATGCACTCAGCAGTTGATCGGTTTCAATCTGATTGGCAAGAATGTGACTTTCAACTGAATCAATCATGGTACGCCATGTTGAAGCGAGCGTTTGACGAAAGCTCGAATCGGCCGCTTGCGCCTCTGGTGAATCCGCTGCAGGCAGAGGTTGCTCTGGCGAATGACATTTGTAGCATGACAAAGGTGCGGCCAACTCTTGTGGTACGGAGGGTGGCGGTGTTGGCAAAGGAAACGGAAACGGCCTGGGTTGCAGCGCCGTCGCCGCATTCTCACTGCCGTCAGCCATCATGTCGACGGATCGTTGTTTTGACGATCAGCAGTACAGCTATTTGACAGTCTGTTGGGTGCGATCGTCGACTGAAAATCCGTCTTCCGTACGAAGACTGTGATGCGGACCTGCCGCCGTAAAACTGTCGAACGAGGGCGCCGACGAAAGTCAGCATCGAAGGCGACAGAGATTGCGCAAATAGCTCGGTCGAATGACTCACATGTGCCTTGAATCCGTATCGAGATGACAAGCAATGGCTCGAGCCGAGCCCAGTTGCCGTCCGATGTCAAGTCAGTTCGGAGCGCGCGCGCGTGCGTACGTCGGTGCGTCTTTGGCCTGCGTTCCTTCCAACTCGACTGCGCTTCCTCGGCATTCAACTCCTCGCGACGCAGTCACTCGAACACGGCAGATGACGACGACAACTTCTTGAGGCTTGCTGAGACGGCCATGGCTACTTTGCACGAGCTGCCTGTCGAGGTCAGCTCAAAAAAGTTTCGCCCAACAAGACGTTTCTTTCATCAAGTAGGCTGACCTTACTTTGACATGTCATGACATCCGACGACAGTTACTCGAGCACATACATCTCATGTCACTGTCTCCGGCATTGCCTCTTGTGTCGCGGCACTTGTACACAACGTTCAAATACAGCTCGGTGCTACACAAGGCACTGTACCTCACTCGTCGCCATGACAAGTCAACCCTGTCTCACGCCATCAAGTATCCAATCTGTAACCTCGAGGTTGTACACGCACTGGAACGAATAGCAGCACGTCGTAACAAACAATTGAGGTGTTCAGAACTGCCTCGAAGACTTGTCAATTCGTTCACGACCTCTTTGACAGATCTCAGCAATCATGACAGGTCGAAACAACAGGAGTACGATCTCATGTTGATCAAGTACTTGTTGGAACAATACTCGGCCTCGCCAAATTCTAAAAAAGGCTACATTCTGGCGAGAGCAGTGTTTGCTCGACACGAACGTTTGATCAAATTGCTGCTGAAACATGGCGCTGACCCAAGCTTGAAAGGCGGTTGGGCTGTATTGGCAGCGATCAACATGGGAGACCTAAGTCTCGTCAAGCTGCTAATGGACACGGACGCGGACAGAGGGCTCAATGCTGACTCGGACCAAAGTGAAGAGTACGAGAGGCAAGCTTTGAATGGCAAGCGAAGGCGATCATCGAACGAGTCAACACTATCCACTTCAAAACGTGTCAAAACAGAGCCGAAATGTCGACCGTCGAGTGAAATGTTGGAGGCCGCCGTGAGGGGCGAGCATTGGGATATTGTCACATATCTCGAAGACAAGGGCGCTCGACCGAGCTTGGACGTACTCAAGTTATTGTGAATGATGCATTGGGTTCTCTTTCATTTTTTGTGTTGATGTATCAAGCTGCATTGCAAACTCTCGCCTCGCATCCAGTCTCGTGCAGCTTGTATGTTTTTGTCTACGCCTCGTGAGCTTTGACTGATGTTACACGTGTTTTGCATGAGCAAGTGCCGCCAGGCCTCTCGTCTCACTCGAGCTGGATACCCTAGATCTCCGTCTTTATACTTCTCTTGTGCGTAGTCTAATCTTGAGAACGTCATATTTGCAGTAATGTCAACAGTTGTGCAAGAAGTTTGTTCAGGTCGAGGCGCAGAGCGTTTGAAGTCGGTGCGCTGATCGAAGCCGACCAAAGAGAGAACGTTCACTCCAAATTTCAACTTTTCATAGTGTATACAATCGTCTGCTCTCGGGCTGTCTTACGGCTTGCTCTGCAATGTACTAGCCCCCTGAGTGGGGCAACGCGAACGCGTCAAACTCGCTCTTTCGGTTCAAATGACACACGTCTGTCAACCCATCGGCAAGGATGTAAAGATTCGACAGACCCTATCACTCGACTCACCTATGCCTCAGGCAAATTCTCGAGTGGCAACGGCAGGCGCTGTTTTCGTCGAGTCCAGAAAGCGCTGCTTAGCTGCTTGACCGCAGAAGGTGCCTAATGTGAGGACTTTGCGCCCACAAAAGAAATCCGAAGCTATCGATAAACAGTCGCTGCACGTTGAGGATGTAAGTTTCCAGACGAAAAGCGGGGCGAATGTAACCCGGTTGAAACGGAAAAAGTCCTTGTGTTTGCGACGTTCCCGGTCGGTACCACTAGCTCATCTCGCAGTCACACCCGATTAAAATCCCTAACCTACTATTAACGTCCACATGGGGCTTCATAAATCGATTTGCATGACCAGGAAAGCTGTCGAACGTGGCCAGTCTTATTTTGGTCATATCTCGACAATGCCTGCCGCAAATTGGAGTCTGAAACCAGAGATACCATTGAATGAGGCTGAAAAACAGTCTGGAGCAGCTTTTTGCTGTTTTTCAGAAATTGCTGTAATGCGGCTTATATTCTGTGCAACCTAATGCCCGAGGCACAATCCGTCGGGGATGTAGCTCAGGGGTAGAGCGCTTGCTTCGCATGATTCTTGTATTTGCATGAGGCCTTGGGTTCGATTCCCAACTTCTCCATCACGTTTTTTTTTTTAGTTCTCTTTTTCGTGGTTCTCTTTTTCGATGTTTGAACATGTGAGCCCAATCTCCTATGTGATTGTCATTTTTTTAAACATCTGGGCTCAGTAAAGCACATTTGATCGCTCATGGAGGCTTGAATTGCTTAAGGAAGCGTTCCGGCGGGTGATTCAGCTTGCTCACGACAACGACTCAACAAATGAAGCGCAGCGTGACCAAATGTACTGAGTTGACAAATGAACATTCGATTACATCGAGCTGTAAAAGCGAAAGACAAAGAAAAAGAAGAAAACCAATTCTAGAACGCCACTCCCGAAACGTCACGTGCCCAATGACGATGAGCAGCACAAGCTTCCAAAAATGCCTGTCCAAATGTAGCAGCATCTTTTGTTCCTTGAGTTAATTTTGTCCAAATTGAAGCATCAGCGTCAACAACATTTTGACCCAAAACAAGACCATTTTTTGAAGAGTAGGTGTCGGTTAAATCAGCTTTGATATCGGTTGAACCTGGCAAGCACTTGTGAGCGATCCAAGGAACAGCTGAACCAACAGCAGCAACTGTGAACGTAATAGCGGTTGCGGCGATCAATACCTAGGAAAACAAGCTGACTTGGCTGAGAACTTACTTGGCTTGAAGTGACCAAACGCTTCGCGAACAAAGTGAATGACACGACCCTGTTCTAGTGACTTGTTGTACTCGTCATTTCCCGAGGGGAAGAACAAGGCGTCAAAATAAGTCGAACGGCATCCTTCGATGCTGAAGTGAGTGTATTGAACACCCGTGGCGTCCTTGTCTCCCTTTTTGACACCACTGGGGTAGGCTGGACCTTTACGAAGTCCAACAAAGTGAACGACAACACCAATAGCAGACAAAGCCGTTGACAAAGCCGACACTTGCAAAGGATCGTAACCGTCCAGAACAAAGATACCAACTTTTCTGCCAACGGCCGTAAAAACATTTTGAGAATCTTGCATTGACATGGGTAGTTGACCGGTCGACTTTCTGCCATTGTTGGGATGTTTTGGTTCACCTGGCATAATGTCGAAAGCTTCTCCAACTTGTTTCGCAAAATTGTGGTCCATTTCATTGAAGCGGTTGATCATTCTTTCTTGCACTCCACGATCGTCGCACTGTGATTCGCCATACATGAATCAGCTTGACACATGCCATGACAACAATTGGCCCAAACTCACATGTCCGAGCTCAAACTGGAGGGCTTCAATCATGTGCTGTTTCTCAACATCAGATTGCGAGTTGTAGAACAATTGGGCCTGAGCAACGGTTTCAGCGAATTTGGGAGGACGCTGTTTGGCACGTTTGCCTTTGACGTCGTATGTGCTGTAAGTGACGCCGTTTGGGTTGATCTTTGTAAACTCTTGAACCGTTTGCTCGTCTGTGGCATAGTTTTGTCCTTTACCATACTCTTTTGATGCATCGGTAGGCACACTGAACCTATTTGGATGATAGTTTGGACCGGCGCGAATCTGATGTGCGTGTTGTCCATCCCGAGCGGTGCTAATAAAGGGGCAAACGCCACGGTTGATTGGCAACTGATTGAAATTGACACCTCCCTGCGCAGCGCGACCACAGTGGTCAGTTTAAAGTCCATTTGACAAGCAACGACGTGTCTGATCATCCTGGTTCCTCATCACTCACCAAGCGGGAAATTTGCGTGTCGAAATAACTAAAATTACGAAGCTGCAGCATAGGATCGTTCGAATAATCCATACCAGGTACAATATTTGAAGTACAAAACGCGACTTGTTCCGTTTCAGCAAAATAGTTTGTAGGATTGCGATTGAGAGTCATAGTGCCAACCCATTTGATGGGAACCAATTCTTCAGGGACCAATTTTGTGCAGTCGAGCAAATCAAAATCAAAGCTGTCTTCGTCTGATTCATCAACCAATTGAACGCCCAATTCCCACTGAGGGTAACCGCCACTGCTGATTGCGTCGGCTAAATCGCGTCGAAAAAAGTCTGGATCTTGACCGCCAAGTTTCAGCGCTTCATCCCAAACCAGACCATGTTGACCCTGATGTGGCTTCCAGTGATACTTGACGAATGTACGTTTGCCTTGTTCGTTGACAAGCACAAACGTATTGACACCAGCACCACGCATGTGTCGGTACGAACGTGGAATTGTGTGATCAGATAAGATCCAAGCGGCCATGTGAAGCGACTCGTCCGTCAAGCTCATCCAGTCCCAAAAATTATCATGAGCCGTCTGAGCTTGAGGCAAGTGAATTGAGGGTACAGGCTTGCCAGCGTGCACCAAGTCAACAAACTTGACACCGTCTTGGATGAAGAAAACGGGAATACTGAAATCACATTTCCCGTCAGTAAGGAAACGCTTATGGGGAGTAGGCGCTATCGATACTCACTTGTTGCCCACGAGATCCCAATTACCCTGCTCGGTGTACCAGCGTGTGGCAAAACCACGAACCTCACGAGCAGTCTCGGCGGCTCCACTTGAACCAAGCACGGTTGAGAAACGAACAAACGTAGGAGTCTCTTTTCCAACCTCGGTAAGAACCTTTGCGCAAGTGACATCGGCCAATGAGGTGTGAAGTTTGAAAACTCCGTGAGCACCTGCTCCACGAGCGTGAACGACACGTTCAGGGATTCTGCAGCAGAAAGACATTTGTCAGCATCCTGTATCACATGACAACTGATAACTTTTGAACAACAATGATCAATGCTGACCTCTCGTGATCGAAATGCGAGATCCTCTCCCGAGCGATCGGATCAGAGATTTCAGTTGGACCTCTGGTGCCAGCTCTCATTGACGTATCAAGGTTGTCGACAGGCGCTTGGGAGAACAATGACAAGTGGTGACTGCCATGATAAGGAGTTCTGACAGTAGCTGCTTCAATCTGTTGGAGTTTGGCATTCAAACCAGAAGGAGGTCCTTGAGTGTTGGCCACTCCGTCGGTCGCTTGCATTTTGTGCGGTTGTGGAAGATGTGTGTTGCGGTGATTCGAGGGTGCCAGACGGTGTGTCCGCTGATGGAAGATCAGAAGAGAAGAGGGAGGCAAGATCGAAGACCAGAGGCCGACCTGCGGCTGCGAGTCACGAGCGTCACCTCGCGAAGCGACGCGAGAGGAGCGCGAAGGCGAGCGGCAACGGCCCTTAGACACGTGACTTTGACACCCAGGATCGAAAGTATACAGGAAGCACGTAGGTTTCAAGGTTTGAGTAGCTCACATACAACAGCTTTGTGAATTTAAACAACAACAAATTAGCTCCAATGACACGTGCGAGTGGCGGATCCCAGCAACCTAGCTCGCTAGCGAAGATCCGTTCTACTGACGCGTTCGTCGCGACTCTGATTACCCTCGGTTTGAACAGGTGGCAGGTGCATGCGGCACAAAATGTGTAGAGCTGTAGCTTGAGCTCGCGCAACAGGTCTGACCAAGTCGAGTGCGACCCGCTTAGATCGTTTCCAGAGTGCAATCAACTTTTGAAGGCACCCTGATACCTGCAGACCATACTGTAATGGATCTTTGTGCTCCCCGTCAAATAGTCGCTCCCGACCTCATTCGTGCGACCCACTATGGATCAGAGAACTGGTGTACGAAGGATTCAAACGACAACGTTCTCGAGCAATGTTCGAATTGCAAGCGTACCACTCGTCACAAAAATATACCGTCGTCCAGGGGATTGAGGTGTCAAGGAAGCGGAGTGCGAGTGCGAGTGCGAGTCGCGCGGTTTGAGTTCGTGCGCCGACGACGATGGGCGACGGGACTGCACCCGCCGCCAACGTTGCAGCGTCTCAACAGCAGTCGTCCTCGACAGCAACCACATCAACAGCAGCACAAGCTGCGCCTACTGTGTTCTACCAACTGTACAGGCGTAGTTCGTGAGTCAGCGTCATTCGCTTGACGGCGGTCTATGGCTGTCACTGCCATGCCAACAGGGACATCACAAATGATGTTGACACTGTCAACGCTTGCTCCTGTGTGTCATGCATCATGTCTGCAGACTTGGCGCAGCGCTGTTTGAAGCTCTCGACGAGTTGATCCAAAGCGGTCACATCAATCCACAATTGGCCATGCGTGTACTGAATCAGGTCAGTCGTTCGGTTGCTGTTGTAATAGAATAGTGTTCAACTCCGCTCACACGCTCCTTGCAATCGTAACAGTTCGACAAGTCCGCGAGTCAGACCCTCGCAACTCAGGTCAAGACAAAGTCAACCGTCAAAGCTCACCTCCAGACCTATCGTCTCGTTGAAGAAGTGAGTCGAACCGGGCGTTTGCGTAAATTTAAAGTCAAGCTCATTGTGTCCTGACATTCTTTCGTCGATTCAGGTGTGGACATTCGTTTTGAAAGACCCCATGTTCAAGTTTGAAGATCAAGAGACTGTTCAAGTCCCTGGCAAAATCAAGATTGTCGCCTGCAAAGCTGGTACAGCAGACGTCAAATGAGTCCTTGATTCTGAGCGCTTTACTCGTCCGCTTGGCCGCGTTCAACAGAAGAACGCAAAGAAAGGGAAATAAATTGGAGCCGAGTCTAGAGTGCAGAAAGGCTTTCCAATCGCACAACCATGTTATTCAATCGTCGTTCGTCTCTACTCTTCATGTAAATTTCTGTACATCAATTGTAGATTTGCTTTTTGCCTTGTAACAGAATTGCTCACCAACTGAAGTCGGGTTCTGCGGTCTGGCTGCCTAGTGGCGCAGGATTCAAAGTCAAATTCGACACGTGTGCAAAAAAAAACGACTGTGCTATGATTGCAAAAAAAAAAGGTTTATCCAAACTGTCGAACCTAGGCTCTTCTATTGACGATGACTTTCGACTGTCTGTTTCTCGCAACATCCGAATACAACAGCTGATTGTAAAACATCGGGGGAGACAAGCTTTTTTTTTTGTCGACTCAACTCTCTGTCCTGATCTTGTCAAGCGTTGATGACAGACTCAGAACTCGTTGTCACCGCCAGAAATGATCTACACAGAGTGCGAGCGAGGAAGGTAGAAAGAGCGTCAGCAAGTCGACGTCA